AGATGACGACGAGGACGACGACGATGAGGACGACGTCGGCGACGACGACGACGACTACGAACACGACGAGGACGAAAACAAGGGTGACGATGACGAGGACGTGGACGACGACGAGGACGACGACGGCGACGAGGACGACGAGGACGAGGACGACGAGGACGAGGGCGAGGTCACGACGAGGACGAGAACGAGGACGACGACGGCGAGGACGACGACGACGACGTCGACGACGACGACCACGACGACGACGACGACGACAACGACGAGGACGAGGACGAGGACGCCGACGACGACGAAGTCGAGGACGATGACACGACGACGACGAGGACGACGACGACGAGGGCGACGACGACGACGACGAGGACGACGATGACGTCGAGGACAACGACGACGACGAGCACGTGGACGACGACGAGGACGACGACGGCGACGAGGACGACGATGACGAGGACGACGAGGACGAGGGCGAGGTCACGACGAGGACGAGAGCGAGGACGACGACGGCGAGGACGTCGATGACGATTTCGACGACAAGGACGACGACGACGACGAGGAAGAGGACGACGACGAGGACGACGACGACTACGACGAGGACGTCGACGACGACGACGAGGACGACGATGGACGACGCCGAGGACTATGACGACGACGACGAGGACGAGGACGACAAGGACGAGGACGACGACGACGACGATTACGACCACGACGACGACGAGGACGACGGCGATGACGTCGACGACGACGACGACGAGGACGACGACGACGACGACGACGAGGACGAGGACGAGGACGACGACGACGAAGTCGAGGACGATGACACGACGACGACGACGACGAGGACGACGACGACGAGGGTGACGACGAGGACGACGACGACGACGAGGACGACGACGACGACGACGTCGAGGACGACGACGACGACGAGGACGACGACGACGACGAGGGCGACGACGACGACGAGGACGACGACGACGAGGACGACGACGACGAGGACGACGATGACGATGACGACGACAAGGACGACAACGACGACGAGGACGACGACGACGACGACGAGGGTGACGACGACGAGGACGACGATGACGACGACTACGACGACGACGACGACGACGACGACGACTACGACAAGGAGGGCGAAGACGAGGACGACGACGAGGACGACGACGAGGACGATGACGACGACGATGACGAGGACGAGGACGATGACGACGACGATGAGTACGACGACTCCGAGGACGAGGACGACGACGAAGACGACGACTACGACGACGACGAGGACGAGGTCGAGGTCGACGAAGAAGAGGACGTGGACGACGACGAGGACGACGACAACGATTTCGACGGCTGTGGTCAGAACGACGAGGAGGCGACGAAGACGAGGACGAGGACGACGACGAGGACGGCGAGGCTGACGACGACGAAGACCACGACGAGGGCGACGACAACGTTTCTCTTCTTCAGCCGCCCCGGCGGAGGCCGCGGCGTCCCAGAAGGAGGAAAAGGTACTGATAATTCGAAGGACACATTGGGCCGATCCAAGAAATCTTCGCGGACCTCTCAGAAGTTATGTTCATAGCTTGTTTTGTTCCTCCTGTACTGCTATGCTTCCCCCCCCCCCGTTTTCTCTTTTTGGGGGCCTCCTGGGAGGCCCTCTTCGCCACCGCTGGATTCGCCTCAACATTCTGGTCAGAGCGCACCCGGGGAGAGGTCGGGGAAGTAGCTGTATCGGTACCTTGTGCTTTGTCCAGGAGGGACCGAAGCAGGAGTCCATATCTTATCATCGACCCCTATCACCACCCCCAGGTTTTTCGGACACCCTGACATGACCAGGCCATCGCCGACAGGGCCAGGATCAAATCGGGCCTGTCCCTCTGCAGGGGGAGTATTTTTCTAGTTTTTTTGTTTATATATATATATATATATATATGTATATATATATACATATATGTACATACCATTTTGAGTATTTTTGGACTCTTCTAAAGGCCTCCGGCCAGTGCCGCCGATCCGGGGGGCCCCGGATTCGGTGATGGGTGCCTGGAGCGGTCCCTAGGGGGGTCCGGGGAGCGTTCCGACGGGAGGGTCCTGAGGGCGGTAGCGGCTAGATCTGAGGGGGGTCTTCAGGACCCCCCGAAACATATTGGGGATGCGCAAATCATTGAGAAAACGCCAGATGGGGGACCGCCCCCCGCCCCCCCTCCCCCCTTTCCCCAGGGGCGGTCCGGATGCGCAAATCATGCAGAAAACGCCAGATGTAGGACCCCCTTCCCCCTCCCCCTCTTCCCCGGCAGAGCCACCCCAGCGATCCCCCCAAGCAGAGCTGAAACTCTTGCTTAGGCTCAGAGCTGAAGCTCTTGCTGAGGCTCCTTGCAGTTCACACGCAATCAAAATCCCTACTAAACTTGCGCAGCACGTGCAGCGCAGGAGCTGGCGGACGGCCTCCCCATCCCACCGTCATAGGGGGATGCGAGGTCCGTGGAGATGGGGCGGGATGGGCATGGGCTGGCATCATTGTTGGCCCATCAGTCCAAGAAGCACCACAGCTTCTAAGGCGTCCGCTGCAAGACTGATCCATTCAACTTACGGATCCACTTCCATCCCTTCCATGGGCTTAAAGATTCACGCGAAGCAGCATGATCTCCCCACCAGCTCCGGCACCCCAGTTGGGGATGCGCCCTTCGAAGCCCGAAGAGACCAGCCTAGGGTTAAGTCGGGCACGTGCCTTTTCAGGAGGAATAACTATTCAAGAATAGGCACGAAATAGATCGGGGGACGATTTTTTGGAGTGTTTCTGATCCTTTTGCAGTTTTTGTTCCCTCTTTTCTATATCTCGTCCATCATCCGCCTGTAGGGGGACATGCCCGACCAAAGCCCAGGGGGGCCCTCGGGCGGGACGAAAGGGGGGGATAGGGAAAGGGGGGGTTACGAAATTTGCTGCATGCAGCTGGTTTCGGCCTCACCGAGGGCCCCATTCCTCGATACGTAGCCGCCTCCGGCGCCGGGAGGCGCCGGGAAAATCAGCTACGCGAGCTGATTCTCAAACCCCCCCTTTGCTAGCCCCCCCTTGCGCCCGACCGAAGCCCAGGGGGGGGTGGTGCCCAGGCCGCGCGGGTGCGGTGCGTGCCCGGGTTGCGGACGCCGGCGGGGCTGGAGGGAGAGGGGCAGAGGGCGGGCGGGCGCTGCTCTCCCCATACATGCTCCGGCGGGCCGCGCACGCGCGCCGCCGCGAGCACCACTCGGGGGCCACATGCGAGCCCTGCCCCTGCCCCCCACGATTTCTGAGGGGGAGGGTGGGGTTCGCTTCGCTCGCTACCCCCCACGATTTTCCGAGGGGGAGGGTGGGGTTCACTTCGCTCGGGAGCTCCCGAGCGAAGTGAACCCCACCCTCCCCCTCAGAAGTCGTGGGGGGTAGGGGCAGGGTTCGCATGTGGCCCCCTAACCACGGAGCGTGCCTCCGGTGCTCAGCCACGCGCAGAAGGGGGGGTGGGGGGGAGGAGGGAGGCTTCGTGGAAGCACCCCTGCTTCTCAGAAGGCGCGGGCCTCATGTGCAGATGCGGGGCCGCCGCCTTCTGAGCAGCAGCCTCTTTCTAAGAAGCCTTCCCGCCTCCCTCCATTCCTTCGTGCGCGTCGCCAAAGTGCGTGCGCGCGGCTCCCAGAACAAAGTCGCTATGAACATAAACTTTTGGCGCTCCGCGCGGGTTTCTTGGATCCGCGTTGGGGCCCCCTGGCGGCGCCTCCGGAGCCGCCCCTGGCGCGCTCTGCGCGCCAGGGAGGTAGGTCCAGCGCAGGTCCATGAAATCCGCACGGAGCGCCAAAAGTTAATGTTCATGGCGTTTTTCCTCCTTCTAGCAGCAGCAGAAGGCGGAGGCATCGAGAGAGCACGAACATTCCAGACAATCGTAGCGGATATGCAAAGAATGGGTACGATGCCCAACAGCAGTTCTTGTTCATTCTGATCAGGGCTCGCTGTTCGCGCCGCCGCGAACGTTGTTCCATGAAGACACAAAGTGCCGCCTGCCCAACAGCGGCCGCTGCTGGTCTTGAACAAGACTTGTTGTTGGGCATGGTGCCAATTTGTCCGTACCCATTTCGGGAGTCCAAGAACATGGAGGACAGTGGAGACCCATGCCAAGAAATACCCTGCTTGCCTCCGGGGTGCCCTGGGTTTCTTGGGCTTCGAGGCTCTGGCTATGGAGAGGAGAGCGCGACCTTCCCACACCAAAAATCGATGGACGATCTGGGGTCTCAGGGTTGGGTTTCCTGTGGAAGGTTTCTTGTGGTCGAGCCCCTACCGTACCCATTTCGGGCGTCCAAAAACACATGAGCGACGCAAAAAACGGGATCGTCTGCGCCGACATTGGCGCGTAAGCTGCCCGCGTAAGGTCGCGCGTAAGCGCCCTTGCTTCCAGCGTAGCGTGCCGCGCTGGCGGCCCGTGTAAGCCACCGCGTAAGGTCGCTACGTTATCTCGCGTAAGACCTGTTCTTGATTGTCGCCCACATGGAGTCACGCGTGGAGGAGGAGGAGGAGGCGGAGGAGGAGGAGGAGGAGGAGGAGGCGGCGCGCCCCGGGGGGAAGCGAGAATGAGCAGGCCTCCTCAGACGGCGGCGGGGCTCCTCAGAGGCCCCCCCTGTGCCTCCGGGGAAGGCCCGAGGCCTCCCGAGCCCTCGTCGGTGAAGGCCCGCCTCCTCGCGCTTTGCAGCGTCTTCTCGAGCCTGCGGAGGGCCCCGCCTCCTCGGTGTCCCCTCGGCCTCCTCGGCGTCCCCCCTCCTCCTTCTCCATCCTCCTCCCTCCTCCATCCTCCCGCTTCCTCTTCCCTCCTTCCTGCTCCTCCTCCCCCTCCTCCTCCTCCTCCTCCTCCTCCTCTTCCTCCTCCTCCTCCTCTTCCTCCTCCTCCTCCTCCTCCTCCTCCCTCCTCCTCCTCCCCTCCCTGTGGTTCGCCGCCGACGGGAGGAGGCGGGACGGGGCATGGAGCGCCCTGCCCGGCGCGCCCCGCGCCGAGGGCGCCTCCGGCAAGGCCTCCGGCAAGGCCTCCCGCAAGGCGCCGGGCGCGTCCTGCGTGCACCTCCCGGGCGTGCGCCTGGCGGACCCGGAAGGACGGCCCCGGCGCGGCCCTGGGCGTTGCTCTGGGCGTGCCCAGACGTGATGGCGTTGTAAACAAATCAGGACGGGCGGTTTGGCAATTTTCGGCCCTGGGGGGCCCTCGCCGGGCCTTGGGACCGTCGAAAGACGATTCAGGACGAAGAGCCGGTCCCAGGGAAAGGGTCGGGACTTGCGGGGACGCCGTCCTGAAAAAATCAGGGCGTCGCATGTCTGGGTAGCCATCGACGCTTTGCGCCGATTGATAGGCCTAGGCGTTCGTTCGCGACGTTCCACCTTTGACCACTGGGCAGGGAAACGTGCACGGCTGTTGTGGCGGCCCCTTGCTTCTTCGCTGGTGCCAGAGGAAAACGGGGCGCTCTGAGACACACTCACACCAAAAAATCCGTCGACATGTTCCGTCGAGTTGGGCGTTGCGGAATGGGGTGTCATAGATGGGGGGGTGGCGAGGGTGGTCCGAAAAAGTACCCTAATGGTACCCAAACGAGCCCCCTGAGGCTCCCGAGGGGCCCGAAAGGGGCACGAAAGGGGGCCGTTTTCTGACCCCCCGATTTATGACCCCCCCATTAAGCCACGCCCAGCCGGCCTTAGCCCCGGGAGAGAGGGCTTGCCTGAGATCCTGGTGATTTTTCCACGACGTGATGGGCAAATCCACCACCGCTACCACATGTAGGACGGGGGAGAAGGGAGGATGAGGAGGTCCTCCTCCTCCTTCTCCTCCTCCTCCTCCTCCTCCCCTCCTCCTCCTCCTCCTCCTCCTCCTCCTCCTCCTCCTCCTCCTCCTCCTCCTCCTCCTCCTCCTCCTCCTCCTCCTCCTCCTCCTCCTCCTCCCCTCCTCCTCCTCCTCCTCCTCCTCCTCCTCCTCCTCCTCCTCCTCCTCCTCCTCCTCCTCCTCCTCCTCCTCCCTCTCCTACACATGGCAGCGGTGGTGGAAAATTGGCCCATCACGACGGGCATCTTCGCGCCGTTTCGGGCCCCAGGACCCTCACATGGTTGTCGATCCGGCTCGAAGAGTGATGCCGACAGATGGGGTCTGGGGCGCCGGGCGTGGCTTCTTGGGCGAGGCTGCGTTCTTCGCAGCGTCGGATCTCAGAGTTCTAGGATTCGAGAGCCAGTCGGAGCCGACGATGCAGCCAAGGCGCTGACATCAAGACCGCCCTGGTCTCGGAGGGGGCCCGCGGTTCCTCGGGTCCTTCCGTGGCTGCCCCCTCTTGGCCTCCTCGTGCACCCCGGCGCCGCCGGCGCCCCGCAGGGGCCGCTGGCGAACCGCGTGTCGTACTCGCCCGCGGGGCTGGTCGCCCCTCTCGCCCCCCCCGCCGGACCACGCCGGTGCCCCCTTGTCTTCTTCTCTCCCCCTCCTTCCCCTTCTCGCCCTCCTCCTCCTCCTCCTCCTCCTCCTCCTCCTGTCCCCCTTTTTCCTCACAGGTGGAGCCGATACGCTTCAAGGAGATTTCGTATCACGGCGGACTGCTTCACTGCAGGCGTACGTCGAAGATTTGCCCTGCGGGGGAAGAAAAAAACTCTGGGCTCAGTGCGGGCCCCAGTTTTCGGGCCGCTCCTGGGATGGGTCGGGGGGCCTCTTCGCGGCCGAGGTGCGCCGTGGCCAAAGGAAAGCCGTGTGGTGATTTCTGTCGGCGTCCTTTCTGGCAGCACGAAGCCGGGCTCAGTGCGGGCCCTGGTTTTGGGGGCCGCTCCCGGGATGGGTCGGGGGACCTCTTCGCGGCCTCGGCATCGCTCGGGCGCGTGCACGTTTCTCGGCCAGGAGCATCGAGGAACGGCTTGGGCCGTCTTGCGACAGGAAGGCACGCGCGAGTCCGAAAACATGCACGGGGAGTGGGCGTCCGAGCGATGGCGAGCGGCCGAGGTTCGCCGTGGCCAGAAAAAGCTCCGTGGTGATTTTTCCCAGGGTTCCTTCTGGCAGCATGAAGTCGGGCGCGTCCCCCTAATTACAGGAGGAGTGACCAAAAATAGTCACAACATTCTCTGGGGACGTGATTTTTGAAAATTTTCTGGTTGGAGTACGTTTGGGACATTTCTGATTTGTCGTCCGAAATCCCCCTGCAGGGGGACGTGCCCGACCTGACGGTGTAGCACGGTGGCTCCAGGTTGGCTTCGCGCGCGCCCGCCAACAGGGCGGCGGGGGGCGGAGGGACGGGGAGGGAGGGGGGGTGGAGTACGAAGGTGGAGGGGATCCCTGGCTCCGGATCCTCCCTACTTTGGGGAAGTTCGTAGGTAGGGCTTAGAAATTCCGCTGCTGCCCAGTTCCGCCCTACTTCTGTGGACTCCCGCCCTACTTTCTGCTGGGTGCAGCAATTTCCGCCCTACTTATTCGGCCTCTTCCAGGTGGATTTCCGACGCAGCCTTAAGTTGGGAAACAAGCCAAAGTAGGGCGGATCTGGAGTCAGGGATCCTGGTACTCCAGACTTCGTAATAAAAGGGAGGGGGTCTGGACCCTCCAAGACAAGCCATCTCAGGCCTCCCCCGTGGGAGAACCCTCCAAAACATCGTCCCCAGACCCCCCAGGCCCTCCAAGATCGCCTGGAAGAGACCCCCCCGAAATGAGACCCCCCTCCCTTTTATTACGAAATCTGGAGTATCTTTCGGACGCGTGCCTTTTTTTCGGGGGGGGGGGTCTTCGAGGAGCACCCTGGCTCCTCGAGCCAGGAAGAGAGCACGCACGCGGAGTCGGCGAGGGCACGGGGGAGGGACGCCCGAGCGAAGGGCCGAGGGACGGAGAGAGGGGGCGGAGGGCGAAGCGGAGGGGGCGGGGATCGTTGGTCCACATCGCTGGGGTCTTACAACGTACGGCAGGTTCATGCGGCGCTGGTGCGCCGGCGACGTCGGCGAAGGCGATGTTTTGACGACGCGATCCCGTCCGGGGCCCCTGGGGGCCCTCGCGGGCGCCTGGGGCCCGCAGGGCCGAAGGCAGGGGTGGGAGGGAGGGAGGCAGGAGCTGATGCCCTCCCCGGCCACGGTCGCAGCGGCCGGCGCGGTGGCAGGGGGCGGGAGGGGGCTCCCGAGCCCCAGGGCTGGCGCACGCTGGAAGGGGGCGGCCAGCACGGGCAGCATCGTGAGGAGGAGGAGGAGGAGGAGGAGGAGGAGGAGGAGGAGCAGGATTAGGGGAGAGATGGTGCTGTCGGCGTTCCTTGCCACATGCCACGCTCTCCCCGGGAAGTCCCCTTCAGTGCATGCATCCTCTTCTGTATCGGTCTCTGTTTTTCAGTTCTCTGTTTTCTTGTGTGTGCTTTCTCTCTCTCTCTCCCTCCCTCCTCTCTTTTTCATTTGTGGACTCTAGTTCTACTTAGCTCTCCAACGCTGTGCTTGCGCTGGGAAGGTTCTTACAGGCCTTCAACGAACTGACCCTGTAGTAGAGGGACTCGGGCACGTTCCCAGGTAAACTCGCCTTGTGCCGATTGGGGCCGTGTAGTGGCAGCCTATCGTTGGTCTACATATGTCCACATCGCTGGGGTCTTACAACGTACGGTAGGTTTATGCGGCGTTGGCGCGCCGGGGCGAAGGCGTTCAAGGTGGAATTCTGCGACGCGGAGGCACCGATTGACACGGCAACGAGATTGGACCCGACTGAATTCAACCTTGAACGATTGGGGCCGCGGTCGATTCATGTTTGAACGATCGACCCGGTGTCGAAAACCTTTGCGCGCGCCGACGCCACACGAGCCTACTGTAGGGCCCCACATGGGTTGGACACACACTCACAAATATGACATACGCGACAGGGTCCCACACGCCGGGATCCCACACGATAGGGCCTCGCAGGCCAGGGTCACACACGAGAGGAGCTCAAACGGTAGTGTGCCACGCGACAGGGCCCTGCACTGCGTGGTCCCCTAGATCGCACCCCGCAGACTGTACCCCACAGGCCTCACTGCAGCACCACAGGTTGCGCAGAGTCGCTGGTTGGGGTCCAAGCCGCCGTCGTGTCTCCTCCTTGTCCATGTCGCGCACCAGCAAAGGGCCCTCCAGCTCTGGCCCTCTTCACCTGCCCCTCCAATCCCCCTCTCCCCTCCGCGACCCACCGCGAGGCCCGAGGTGCACTCGCGCTCCCGTCTCTCTCTCCCTCCCCCCTCCCCATGTTATCGCATCCCCCACGGCACCCTCCAAGAACACCCCTTGGCCACGGTCGACGGCGAGAAGCACATGCCCTCTGCGAGCGCGTGTGCTGAGCTCAGGGGAGTCGAATCGATGGTAGTACGGCGGGGACGTTCGTTAAGGAATGTGCCCAGGAGGATTCAGACCCTGAAGGGTTCCTTATCTAATGAGTGCGGCGGCGATAACCATGGCCCATCCACGATACGAGTTCCACCGGCTTCCAGACCCTGGGTTCTTTCTCCAATAGTTTGTTATCCAATGCCCGCACCGTGGCAGGACGCAGAGGAACAGCTGGGATGCCAGCATAAGGAACGCTTTTGGCTCTCAAGGGGCTTGACTCTCCTTGGCATCTTCTGGATGATCCAGAGATATGTTCAACCTGAGCGTAGGAGGGAGCCGTGGCTCCCTATAGCTCGACCTTGACTGCAGGAACCATGGCGACGGCGCGCGGGAGGAGGAGGAGGAGCAGCAGCAGCAGGCTCAGCAGGAGCAGGAGGAGGCGGAGGCGGATCACAAGGAGCAGGACCGGAATCCGTAAGGAGGAGGAGGAGGAGGAGGAGGAGGAGGAGGAGGGAGCAGGAGGAGGAGGACGAGGAGCAGGAGGAGAGGAGGAGGAGGAGGAGGAGGAGAGGAGGAGGAGGAGGAGGCAGAGGAGGACGAGGAGGAGGAGGAGATGAGAATGCAGAGGAAGGAGGAGGAGGAGGGAGGAGGGGAGGACGAGGAGCAGGAGGAGCGAGGAGGAGGAGGAGAAGGAGCAGAGAGTAGGAGGAGAGTCAGGAGGAGAGGAGGAGGCGAGTGCGCGGCGGAAGATGCGGGCGAGTCCAGCCGGGCTCGGGCGCCCTCGTCCCCGACTTCTCCTCCCGCCTCCTCCTCCATCTGCTGCTCC